CGTGCGGGCTGGTGGCGCTGGCCCTCTGCTCGCTGGCCCTCAGCGTGCTCGCCCACTTTCGGACAGCCGAGCTACAGGCCCGGGTGCTACGCCTGGAAGCCGAGCGCGGGGAGCAGCAGATGGAGACGGCTATTTTGGGACGAGTCAACCAACTGCTGGAAGAGGTCTGTGCTCTTTGTTGCTGGCTTTTATCCCTCCCCTGGCGCCCCCACGCGCAGCCTCCAAACTCCACCCGCGGGTGCCGGCCGGCGCTCGCTCTCCGCGCCGCCGGATGCGCCCCGGACTCGTGCGAGTAGTGCAGGAGGGGTGGGGGACCCGGACGGACGCTGCCCTGCTAGAGCCCGGGAGCACTCCGTCGGCGTGAGCGTGACCGTAGGCTCTAGTCCCCGGGAGGCGCCCCCGGCGTCCAGAACTGGAAGTGTCCAGGGTGCGTCGGGCAGGTGGAGGAAGGCAGAGCGCGGAGTGGCGCCCAGGCGGTGAAGCTCCTTTTCTCGATCCTGGGACAGGCCGGGGGGGCGGGGGTGTGTGAGAGCCGCTGCGCCCACGCGGCGGCAGCGTGCGCTGTGGCCCGGCAGAGGCTGGCTGAGCTCTGTGACCCTCCCTCTCCCCTCTTCGAGGGAGAGTCTGCCTGCCTGACTTTCCTTGCCACTGTGGAAGAGGGAGTGCGTCAGCTGAGGGTCCACTGAGGGCAGAGGGATGGTCCTTGCAGGGGATGGTGTCCTGGTGCCCATTCGCAGCCCCAGGCCTCTAGGTCCCAACACTGCGCTCCTTGGGACACAGTAGCCCAATCTTCTTGTCCCCAAGCCAGGTTTCTTGCGCAGGGACCCTGGGATGGTCCTCAACATTTTGTGTCTGTGTGTTTTTCTGGGAAAAGGATGCTGAGGTCTCTCCGGTTCCCCAATTTTTTTTCAGTCCCAATGGATTAAGTGCTACTAGTGTGTGTCTTTTAGTCATGACAATCTTGGGAGTACAAGAAGACTGCATCCTCCCTGGGCAAGAGTAATTGCAGTCTC